GCACATGATTAATGATTAATGATTAATGTTTTTTAAATTAAAATTAAAATTAAACTCTAGAATTACCACAGTAATACAAGGATGGAATTACATTTTCCCTTTCATACACCCTTTCCCTAGTCGTTTCCTGCCGGTCCCCTATCAGCCTATTGGGCATCGTCTCTGGGGTGCCCGGAAAAGAGGCACTCCTCTACTCCTGTGTGTATGCTTCCCCCCCCCCCAACTGCCTTTCATACACGCATCCCTTTGCAAATAAAATGCATAGAAATTAAAGAACTGGGTTCAAAGGCATCAGGGCCAGTTTTTGGTTAATTTTCCATTTCTGAATAAAAATAACGCCCTTGTCTACTTTACATGCATGACTTGATCTTTGAGACAAGCATATGCTATTCTGGGGTGCCCTCGCCCGCTCAAATGGAAATTTGACTTTGCCCCGGGACTGGGAAAAAAAGGCGGAAGAAAACACTGCCGCCCTCTCTACATTTTGGTGGAAGCACTTCTTTTTATTGATTATTTTAATGGCGACTTTATGGCAAGTTTCTGTGTACGCCTCCCCCCCCAACTCCCTGTCATACAGCCTTTGGCACTCCTGTGCCCTCCCACCCCAACTCCCTGTCATGCAGCCTTTGGCACTCCTGTGCCCTCCCCCCCCCCAACTCCCTGTCATGCAGCCTTTGGCACTCCTGTGCCCTCCCCCCCCAACTCATCACAACAGCTTCGGGAGGGTCACCCAAATACTGTATATTTCAGGTTTGTGATTGATGACCAGTCTTGGAATTACTCTAAAGATTTTCTATCATATTATCTACCAATCAATATGTCTTTAACATTAATATCTAGTCTACATTATTGTAAAAAACTCAGAATCTGTGCCAAGAGGTAACTTAAAACAGGGTCCTTTAAGAATGAAGTCCATGTTGCAGGGACTCACTCTCATGGCAGAATGAAAGGAAAAAGAAGTTCTTTTATTGATTATTTATCTGATCGTCTTAGAATCTCCGACTTTCGTTCTGGAGTAATGAAAATATGCATAACCTCAAAAAAATAAACAAATCCACAAAAAAACAAAAACCTCCGACTTTCGT